CTGTGATGGTGGGGAGGGGGAAAGAGAGAGTGTGTGTGTGTGACACACATACACACATTGTGTGTATGTGTAGGCGCGTCCTTAATCCCACAACCCCCACCTATCACACCCCGCCCTCCCCGCCGCATATCGTAGAACACTATCACCCCAGGACCCGACCCGACCCCCCCCCCGCGCGATCTGGCATCCACCATTACCATCACCACATCACCCGCGTCCCCCTCCCTCCCTCCCCCTCCCCCCCTGCCGCGGACTATCTGCTGACAGGGCAGAGAGAAGGATATTTGCATCTTCTCTGCCGTACGATCTCCGGCGGTTTCAAAGAAGGGGGGACGCAGACCCGGTGAGCCGGTTGGTTGGTTGAGACTGACAAACCAACAGACAAACAAGGCCACACACAGAATAAAAAGTTGGTCTTTTTTGGACAGGGTTTTAGTAACTAAAAAGATTGCGTCTTGTTTAGTGCGTTGTCGCTGCTGGTGCTGTGCTACGCTTACGTAGCGGTTAGAGCTGCTGGTGATGGCGATGGCTGTTGCATGATCTGCCGTACGGCGTTCCTATTTATGTGGGGGGAAAAGACATTCCCCTTTAGATGTACGGCATTGTTGTTGTTGTTGTTGTTGTTGGTGTCCCCAACATAGGCATCGGTTTCGTGGCAGACGAGCGGCGAATCAACGTCGGCATCACCCGTGCGCGCTGCAGCCTCATCGTCATCGGCAACATAAGGGCCCTGCAGGTACGACTCTCTTGTCGTACAACAGTGCATGGAAGGAAATACGGTTTCCAGAGCACGAGGCGTGACGCGGTCGTACGTGTACGGCAGGGGAGTGAAACCCGTAACGAAGCGGCACACGAATTATTGGCGCGCGGCCTGTCTGGCCCCCCTGTGCAGGGGGGGGGGGGAAAGGTTGGCAGTTACTGTCCATCAGCATTCCCACCCTCAATCCCCCTCAATCCCCCCATCAGCTTCACTCGCTCGTGGCTTGTCTTCCCCCCACACCCCCCCAA